CATTTCAATCACACATCCGCAGTTTGTAACGGACGAAGGAGCAGAAACTTTGCAGCATGTCTCAGATAGAGGTCAACAGAAAGGTAAGACTGTTTTAATTCCTTTATGAGTAAATCACAGAATCATATAAAAATTTTCCAAGGAAATTGTTGAACATGTCAAAAAATGCTGAGGGAAACGAAGTGAATACAAAACTCCTGGATCTGCCCCTTTATGTGGATCTACTCCAAAAAAAGTTTTGTGTGTTTCTTGGCTAATGTCCCATCCGTCCACCAAGTTTTGTAGAAATCCGTTCTGTAACTTTTGCATAATCCTCCTGAAAACAGCGGAGACAAAGAGATAACCTCCTTGGTGAAGGTATTAAAAGAATAAATACTCATTATATAATAACAGTAATTGTATGCACCAAAGACAAATGGACAACTTAATACAATGGTTGTTTGTCTCCCAAGGTGAAGAGAGAAGGTAACAGGGAAGAGAAGAAATGCAGATAACCCTGTCTGACTGCCAACGCCAGAACACAGAAGTAAAAATATCCAGCTTATAATTAATAACTCCACGCATAACATCTTCTTTATTCATGAGCACCTGCTTCCATTGACCTCAGGGGGCACCCAGATTCATGCTGAATTTTAAATATTTCGCACGTGGGAGACTAGATTAAAGCACCAAGCATCTTAGATCCGTCTAAAACGGTTTGTGAATTGGTTTTGACAGCGTCATCACAGGATTTTGTTTAATTTAGACAGAAACGATGAATGCTTTCAGCTAAAACCCCAACATACTGTATTTCCCTCACGGAACACGACCCCCAGCAGCTGAATCCCACTGTCATTTATATTCCCAGGGAGGAGATTGCGCTGTGGAGAAAGGTTCAGACCACGAGTTGAAATAAGACTTGTGACCTTTGTTGCGCTTAATTCCTCATCCCTTTCTCCATGGCCTCGTTCAAAATACCAGAAAGAAAAAAATAGTTTGAAGCACAGGAGCAGATGTCTTTGTAAAGAAATATTAAATTATTTACAAAATAATTACTGTGTATTTTCAATCCAACTGCACTTGTTTCAGGATTTAATAGAGCTCACCCATTTCTCTTGACCTTCTGCCACTGAACAAATTGCTTTGCGCTTTTGTAACTAGGGAAATAAATGTAACCACTCTCATAGAAAGAATACTGGACTCACTCACTGGAAATGTCTGCTGTTAGAGAATCAATGTGATGCGTAATACATACTAAAAGCAGCTTGAGTCCAAAGACTCCAAAAAACAATGAAAAACAAATTGACATGTTGGTTGAAGTGTTGCTTTGTGCAGCTTTGAAGTGGAGCTGACGTGAATTTCCAGAGACAGAAATCTTGGAGAAAGATATGTGACAATGATTGTTTAACCTATAAAGTCGAGATATTGTTGATTCTGTGACGACTGTGACTCGATAAAAATAACATTTGAGGAATTTTGGGGATTCCACTCTAGCAGTAAATTAATTCAGCTTAGCATACAGACAGGAAATTAGAGGAAACCTTACTGTATATAAATATAGACGACTTCAAATGTTGCAAAAGTAAATTCTCCAAAATGTTAAACTATTACTTCCGTCCATAACATATATGCATATAAGATTCTCAAGTCATCCAGCTCGTGGTATCTTCAGGAGTTGAACCGTTTCACCTCTCGTCCAATCCATCCATCATTTTCAATATATTTCAGTGCATTCTCTGAAAAACTCAAACGCCGCATACTTGCACATTTCAAGCCCAGCTACACCCCCCAGACAGGAGCTCGTCCACCCTGAAGACAAAACACCCAGGCACAAACAGAGGAATGTGATTTCTGCGGCTCAATGCAACAAAGATTGCTCAGACTGGCACATTAAGGGAAAGAAAACAACCAATACATAAATGGATGGCACAACAAAGGAGAATCAGTTCCTCGAGCCGGGACCAGGCAGTCCACTTATTTGACCAGATAAGACAGATGGATTGAAAGAGGTGCAAGCTTTCAGCCACCAACAACTCATGTGACCCTCACACAATAGCAGGATTGGTTTATGACTTCTATCTCCACTCAAGAGAGCCCAACAACCCACTAGCTGGCGGGGTCTTCAATGATCTGCATGTTTAACATAACAACTCAGGACAGGTTAAGACACAAAGAGATTAAAAACCTGAAACTCACTGATTAGTTAGAACTGAAGAAGCCTTTTGGATGAGAGGGGAAATGTCTCCAATCAAGCAGTTGCCTAACCCCCAATGACTTCCCCAAAAATGTGGAACTATTCCCAAAGCCTCTAAACTCCCAGGTACCCAGAGTCCTAATGGTTTACATCAGCCATGTCCAATTTCCATTCTACATTATAATCCTAATGGGGTTTTGAGTATGCACGATGTCTTGTACTGCCCCACAATGCAATGCACAGAGGCAATGGAGGAGCTGATAACTGCTGCAGAGCATTCCAATGAACTGTGGATGGCACTGGCTCACAGGAGTCAGAAAAAATAAATCTTTTATGACAATTCAGTCCCTAACTCAAGGGTGCACTTAACTGGCTTTATCTGGAGCATTCAAGCACATCTCATGGTCCTCATCAACTCAACTGCAAGTCAAACAGTGACGTGCATTGCATCCTTGTACACCGTGATACAAGTATGCAAAAGAACGCAGTAATATGTGGTATACTGCAGGATCTTTCACTGCGGACATGTTTTTCTGTTCCAGTGCCCACAAGCAAAGTCAGGGAGCCAGGAAGAATCATACCAGACCCGAGGACCTGCACACTTCCATAAAATGCAGCCATGATTAATTTTATAATTAATCATATATAATATATACATATAACTATTCCTGCTCTTACATGTCAAAATGTCCCCTGTGCATTTGAGCTAAGTGATGTGGCTTATGAACCCATCATTAATGTTATTACCTGCAATGCCAGATCAAAATGTATGCAGGGAAGAAGAAAAAAGGAAAAGGAAGCCGAAAGAATGAACGTTCTCACATAGACTGTGAGTAAATATGGACAACGGATCTTCACTTCCAGCCACTATGTGGAAATTTGGCCAAAACGATCCAGATATGAACGTTGCTGTCTTGTGCATTTGGAGCCAGAGTCTGCACAGCGGCGATCATAGGATGAATCCCCGGTAATGAGGTCGGCGTGTTGCTTTAAATCTTGTGATTTGTGACCTGGTGCAGCTTGAATTAATCTAAGGGGACAGTTGGACCTCGGTGGAGGGGCCATCCTAGTTTGCGATGTAATTCTGACAATCTGGGACGTTTTTCATTTGTATTGGGAGCTATTGTGTCACTGATGGATACACTATTAAAACAAGGAAAATGTTTGGAGAATAGCTAAGTGATCATTTGGGGAATAAAAGGAATTGGTTACTCTGTGGAAAAAGCAAACTGTTACACAACACCATTCAATTTTAAGAATATAAGATTGTATGGATCCTCTGTGTGCCTTTTTCTTATCAGTGTCCTTGCCAGGTCTCCTGGATTTATGCCTGTGATTCTGCCGACATGGCATCAAAGCTCCCTCTCCTTCACTCTCTCTCAGCTGTGTTTTGCCCGAGCTGCAGCGACAGATGTTTGAATGTCAGTGCAGACGCCTCTGAGAGGAATTTTAGCTGTGTAAGTATATTCTTGTCATGTACAAACACTCCGTCACTGAGTTCCCTCGCTCCGAGTCCCTCCTGTAGGTCTCAAGGAGTAGGCGGCGCTGGCTCTCTATCCTCATAGCTAGTTAATTACCGCTAATTACGCTTACCTGCAGTCCCAGGTGGAAAGCAACCTCTTATTAGCCAGCTGAAGATGAATGGGAAGCAGCGCGGCTCAGTGTCTCGAGGAGCACAATTAAAACCACTGATGCAAACCTCACAACTAAACCAGAGGGGAATTATTCACCCCTCAGAAAATATAATCTGTCTGTTTAGTGACGAAGCATCAGAAATGGAGCACCCGAGTTCCTTCCCCCTGCCTCATCTTATGTTCTGCAACTTCATCTACACACTTATGACCCAGTTCAGGAAACACACAATAAATGTTTTGGTCTTTGGAGCCTTCAGTGTCATAACATGTGTAATCAGCTGAATGTTTTTAGTCATTATCCCTAAGAACAACCATGGCTGTAAGAACGGTTGGTCAATGCGTCTCCACTTCCTCCTCCACAATAACAAAGCCAAAATATATACGGTGTACGAATTCCACCATCTTGCATTTTTGGAACCAGAGTCTGCACAGTGGTGATCGTCAACCAATCACAAGTCAGTTTCCGCTGTCAATCATGACGTTTCACCCCATTTTAAAAGCTTCAAATAACTTATTCAAACCAAATTTAAAACTGACATCATGGGGATGAGAACTACCATGATGTGGGGGACAATCAAATAATACATTACCGCCCATGAACTGAATTTCATGAAAGCTTAAATCCAGCTATAGGAAATCAGGTCCCTATAGGAATTACTACAGTATAATTAAGAAACTCTTCAACCAACTGCCTCACACGTTCTCCATTTTTCATCACCTTGAAGCTTAAATGGCGTTTCAAAATTATTACACATTCACTCTACAGAGCACCATGGCAACAGCTGTTATTTTCCTCCTCCAGGGGATACTCCACACACTGCTGCAATATGGTGCAGCAAGGGCTCTACCTAGTGGCATTAAACGGTAACAGCAAGAGCTCACACAGGCAAATGATCATTGTCTTGATCCATTAGTCCCATTATGTACTGCAATGGTTCTGCACAGTCTACTAATGAGTTATCCCTGCCTACTAAAAACTACATAAATATGCTATGGTTTGAAAAATACAAAGAGCAAATAGTGTCTTAACTCCCATGAAATCAACAAATAGTAACATCTGAGGTGTTGTATGCCTAGTGCCTAGATGTAAAATGATTGTACCATTATCTTAAGGCAGGGCAGAAAACCTGGGATTAAACATTTATTATGCATGCAAGTTGTAGATGTGATGTAAAAACAGATGAACAAATGTCTTTGCATTTTAAAGTCATGACTTTATTTAAATTAAGGGTCTACTTTATCAAAAGGTTTCAAGTTTTCAGGACAAACTGCAACAGTGCAATCGGTGACGCAGACCATTCTGTACGAGGACATACAACACGCAAAACATGACTACAGACAGAGATGAATTCATACTTTCAAGTATTGAGAACAGCAATAGACACAATTTACACACAGAAGCAACAAGTAAAGGCCATTTCATACTTTTTACATTACAATGGTCAATACAAAGGTTTTCCTATACAAATTTCTAAAAATTCACAAAAGATTCTAATCATGTTGAACGGGAGCTTTTGTAGCAGGGTCCATGTTACATTAATGATAAATACATAATGACATGTGACGCAACAGATGTTACACACCTGTAACACCAATGATTTCCAGTTGTGTAAAAATCCACTTTTTTCCTCTGTACACTTTAAACCTGCATTATCTGACAACTCACCTCTGTAGTTGCTACCCTGCACTCTGGAAAAACACTGTAGTGGTTTCACAACACTTTTTGGCCCTTTGCCACCAAGATTTCAGATCATTTTAAAGCACCTGTGTGACTTGAGCACAGCCACATGTTTCAATAGTGTTTATCATGTTATTTGGAATCCATGGAGGAGTCTTCTGCACATCCCATAATCCTCTGCAGCTCCTGAATACAGGGCACGATTGACTGGCTGTACAGCTGAGCCATCTTCAACCTGGAGGAAGAAACAGAAGAGTGATTTGTTGTTCCTCCTAAAAAACACAATTCTACTGACTATTTACAACTAAATCTGCAGACAGCTGGAAGTTGATAACCACAGGAGAATGATAGCATCTATATTTAGTAGCTTTCCAAGAGGCTGGGTTATTGCTGTGGCATAAATCAAAAGCAGAGCGGGTGACTTTATGATTCCAGTTACTTTAGAGAATAAAGAGCCATCATCATTACACTGTACTGAGGCTGAATTTAGCTGCTAAAGCAAAGAGGGCTAATGAGCGTAATTTACTTTCAGATTTAATACATCCCAGTGAGCTGAAGGAAACCCAAGGGTAGTGAAGACAGTAAAAAACACCCAGTGCCAAGTTCCTCAGGGGCTGTCGTAAAGAGGAGTGAACTTACACTCAACAGGTGGCGAGAGGGGACTTCAGTGGGATGTAGATTTGCTTCCGGAAATAGTTAAGTCGGCTAACGCGTTGACAAACAGATCAATATATAAAACTTGAACTGTGAATCGGTTGCAAGTGTTTTCTGCTCTTTAATTGTCCACATCGGTTAACGCAGACTTGAACTCATGAAGCAGGTTTGCTGTAGCATCGTGTCCCTCAGTGATGTGAGCTGATCTCATGGAAAAGAGTCAGTTTATTGTTCAGAAGGAATATTTGGGGATATCATAAATACCATCATATCTGGGGCACACAGGCACTTTACAAGTACATAAATAAAGTGAATTAAATGACCCATGCCCCTAAAAAGTGGAATAACCTTGAGGATACCTTATTCAAGACAACTTCATAATGTAATTAAATCTCATATTAATGGACATATAATCAGGGTGACACACCACTGCATGTGAGCCGTTCATGTGCCTTTTTAATCTACCTTCTGAGCAGCTCGCTTCCTCTGTTGGTATCAGGGCGGTAGTGCTGGAGAGCGGTGAGGCTGTGAGCTGCCAGAATGCTGTAGCACTGCTCTCGGATCGCATTGTGATTCGCCGTGTCCCACTGCGGTAGCTCGCTGGTGTAGCGCCACGCCATCAGTGTGTGCTCCAACACGCTGTCCCACTCTTTGTTCCTCAGAAGAACTTGGCCCCACTCCTGACAGGAAACCTGAAGAGGAGAGGACAACGAATTGTTACTGCACGATGAATGCTGCCAGCTCCAAAAAGCCTCACAGGCTAAATTAGACGTGTGCTTTAGTGGTCTGCCATTCTACTGAACGTCTAAAAAAAAAAGCAACATCCTTTTCATGCAGACAACAATTGAATGAGATACAAGTGAAATCTAATTTGACGGTTTTTCACATTCACCATCAGGCACCAGTGATACTCACTTTAAATGCCACCAGGTGAGGATACGCCTTCCTGTAGCAGTGAGCATCTCTGTTGGAGCCAAAGCGTGAGTACGGGATGGACCTGTAAACGTTCGCCTTCTTTAGCTGAAGGTCTTCCTGGAGATACTTCAAGTCTGAGGCCAGGACTCTGGGCTCTTGGCTCTGAGAAAAAAAATGCAACACATGTCATGTTTCAGATTAGAGCATATGAGAAAAGGCATCGAGCAGAGCAGAATGTTTTACTCTCCTTTATGTGTGGAGAGAGTTCAATATGTATTTTACCATGTACACAAAACACCAAGTTGATTAATATTCAACGTTAGCCTATCTAATCAATTGTCCTTAAATTGAGATTATGTGTGCTGCTGTTTTTTGCAGCCATACAAATGATTCATGCTGGAATTAACTTGTTTTTAATGCTATTAGATACTAAGCTTGTTGTTACCGAATACGACAGATGCTCGACTGATCTGTGAAACTCCAGGAAAGGCTCAATACCTGCTCAACCAAGATAAGGGATCTGATCAGCTGCACGAGCTGCTGTTTGGAGAGGGGGGTTTGGTGCTCGTCCATCTTCTCGCACTGCTCCTCTATTCTCCCAGTCCACACGCCGCTGATGGGCAAGTCCACTGCAAAACAAAGGGAGATGATCAGAACAGGCAACTTATCATAAACGAGAACAAACTCCCACCACACGTCAGACATCTGCTAACATCAATTTTTAAAAACCATTATCTTCTACTTATTTTTTATATATTTTGCTAGTTTTATGCTTTTATCCTAAGACTTCGCTTCATTGCTAACATGTCTTTACTTTATTGTAGAGCACTTTGAGCAGCATTTTATGCATGATGTTGATTTTATATCTGCAGTATAAATAACTTATATTATTGTTATTTGCTGCAAGTATATCTTATCTTTTTTTTTAGAGGGTAGATGCAAGACATAGCAGCTCTGAACAATACTTTTTATGTAACTCATGCAATATTGAGCAACAGGTTTCACACTCACATCCTTTTCACCTGCTATAAAGTCATCTCTCGGCAACTTGTGCAGATATATTGATTATAGATCGGCTCTGGACTTACATGACTGCACCCGCCTGGTGGTTGCAGCTGCACTTCTGCCCCTCGGTAGTGGAGCTGGAGCTAAACGAGCACTTAAAATCTCCAGGTAGGACCTCCTCATCCGAGCTGGGGAAACAGTGAGCCACAAAATTAAACTTTGACCTCTCCAACACAATAAACAGACAGTGATTTTACTGTCGAGTATAAGCAGCCATACCACTTGTGTTAATTACACACAACTGTCCACAATGATTATTGATTACAGGCTAACTGATAACTGCTAACACTTGGTGAGGGAAGCATGATAAAAGTGGCGCCTCCTGAACACAAATAAATATATTAGCAGTGGTGGAAAAGTTGTGTGTGAGGTCTTACCTGCTATTTTAGGCTGTGGGGCAGGTATTTCAACCAGGGCCGGTCGAGACGGACACACAGCTGCCATTGTGGGTGAACTCCCGGAGCTAACTAGCTGCTAGTCTCGCTACAGTTAGCCTGAACTTTAAAGCCCCAGCGGGGACGGTAATTTCGCTTCACCGCGGCGGGGAAAGGAGGCAGCTTCACCCGGGGGACTGCCGCTCCTTCTGCAGCCTCGGTCGCCTCCTCACCTCGCTGGTATCAAACCTGTGACACTAACCAGCTCCAGATGAACCAGCAGCTCCGCTCACCACTTGCCTCTGTGGAGGTTAAAACTTTAAACCTGACTGTCCGGAGGCGCGCGACCAGAGTTGCCGCGCGGGCGTGGCTTGCTTCTGATTGGTCGACATCGCTGCACCGCGTGAAAGAGGCGCCCAATATGTTAATGGGAAACCTCCCCCAACATCACGTGAATGACTCTTTACGCCCCCCCCCCCCCCAATAAAATGCATGAGTTTCCTGCAACTTCGAGTTGAACTTTGATTATAAGAAGTTCTGATCTTTGTTTAAAATAAACCTCCTCACAAATTAAGTCAAAGAAGTTTCACTAAAGCTGTTTCAGTGACATCTGTTCTGGTCCTGCAAGAGTAAACTTTGGTAATAATTTCATTATTGACACAACTGACACCTTTTTCTCGGACTTTGTTTTCTACTGCAGAAATGATCGTTACCACGGTTACAGGATTGCTTTTCCTTTTATATATCATTAATCGGATTTCTTCACAAGTTACAAATATAAGTTCACCGACAAAATAAACCCCAATTCTTTGTATATTTATGAAAGAAATGGAACAGTACAACAAAACAAAACATTAAAACCTTAAACCTTAAGCTTTAAAGTGTTATATGAATTTGAAGTGAAACCCTTTTTCATTCTTTTTTTATTTCCCCATTATCCATTTATTCATTATTTATTCAGTTTGATATATAATTTCAATGTGACAATTTATGACCATCTTATCTTTCTCTTTCGATGCTGACTGACTATAATAACTTAAATTTGTTTAAAATAAATAAAAAGCATGATGTTTCCCTATTCTGTTGTTTTGCAATCTTCAAATTGCTTTTAATAGTTTCCTATTGTTATCCTTCATTGTTTCATGTCTAACTCGCATAGCATCTTGTTTGTAAAAGTGCTGCATAAATATTTTTTTTTTTATTCTCTCTCTTCTACTGTTTACATCTGAATGAAGGCTCAGTGAATGGAAGTCAAATCATTTGACATTAGTTATTACATTAGTTAACACAAGAGATCACATATGTGATATAACATAAATGTGTTTGATTTGGTTAAATAGATAGTTTAGAGATATGGTAGATTGGAGACAGAAACTACCTAGAGTGCCAAGGCCAAACAGTCCTATTATGAATCCACCAGATCCAGATTTCTATTTGATCTACACTAGTTCACACACTCATATCAGTCTCCTACACATGCCTATTTATTACATGAATTATTCTCTGTGAAACCATGAAAATGTTGGGAAACACATTCTCACAGAGAGAGAATAATAAAGTTCCTGGATCCACCAACTCTATACAGCCTGTCAAAGATCTCATTAACTAAGTCTTGCCTACTGTTAGATGAAAATGCTAACCACGAATCTGTACCCCAAACAGCCATCCTAATTTGTAAGTCTTCTACCCAATGTAATGCTGCCACAATCGCTACTATCTCCACTGATTAAACTGACAAATGGTCCAAGGTTCTACTGTTCACTTAAACTTTCAAGTCTTGTATGCAGAAACCAAAACTTGTTCCTATGTATTAGGATCTTTGGACCACATGACCACATGAAACTACTGAGGTAAACTACAATCAGAATGCTATTGGCTTACTGACAGTGTTGAGCATGTATATGTTTGTCATGTTCAATATTTGCTAATGGGCATTAAATACAACATGGCTGAGGCAAATGGGCATGGCATCCTCTAGGGACCATGAAAATTTCATGTCAGTCCATCCAGATCACCATCTGACAGATGTCCCCAGAGCCATGCTGCGAACAGGGTTAAAAACTGCTTTTTAGCATAACTGGACATTTAACTTTAACATTAAAATCTGCCATGTGTAGGATTTAGTGACATTAAGAGGTGAGATTGCACCTGAATACTCCAGCAAAGGTCAATACACATCATTATGTCCAACTAGCGTTATGATTCAGTGTGATATTTAATTACTATCAACGTCTGTGTGTTATTAACAACTGACTATCAAATCAAATTAGGAAAATGCAACATTTTGTCTTATATTTATTGTCCTTTGAATGCAGTAGCATATAAAAGAAGAAAGAGAAGTTGATCTTGGCTGTGGTGCCACAGATTTGACAGATGACACAGTCTGAGAAAAGTGCTAGAAGTGCAAAAAAAAAAATCTACTGCAACAGAAAAGGGACCTTTACATTCTGAAATCTAATCAATCAGTTGATTTTTGGGAAGGTAAAAAAAAAAAAAGAACAGGTAACAGGGAGTTATCTATTAATGCTTCTCGCTGTCATCGCCAACACTGTCGGCTCCAACCTCTTTGTAATCCTTCTCCAGAGCAGCCATGTCCTCTCTGGCCTCAGAGAACTCTCCCTCCTCCATTCCCTCTCCGACGTACCAGTGGACAAAGGCCCTCTTGGCGTACATGAGGTCAAACTTGTGGTCCAGTCGAGCCCAGGCCTCTGCGATGGCAGTGGTGTTGCTCAGCATGCACACAGCTCTCTGCACTTTGGCCAGGTCTCCACCAGGAACCACAGTGGGGGSCTGGTAGTTGATGCCCACCTTGAAGCCTGTGGGACACCAGTCCACAAACTGGATGGTGCGCTTGGTCTTGATGGTGGCGATGGCAGAGTTGACATCCTTAGGCACCACGTCTCCACGGTACAGGAGGCAGCAGGCCATGTACTTACCGTGACGAGGGTCGCACTTCACCATCTGGTTGGTTGGCTCGAAGCAGGCTTTTGTGATGTCGGCCACAGAGAGCTGCTCGTGATAGGCCTTCTCTGCAGAGATAACTGGGGCATAGGTGACCAGAGGGAAGTGGATACGAGGGTAAGGCACCAGGTTGGTCTGGAACTCAATCAGGTCGACATTCAGGGCACCGCTGAAGCGCAGGGAGGCGGTGATGGAAGAGGCAACCTGTCCCATCAGCCTGTTGAGGTTGGTGTAGGAGGGGCGTTCCATGTCGAGATTCCTTCGGCAGATGTCATAGATGGCCTCATTGTCCACCAGAAAAGTGCAGCTGGAGTGCTCCAGGGTGGTATGGGTGGTCAGGATGGAGTTGTAGGGCTCAACAACAGCTGTGGACACCTGAGGAGCTGGATAGATGGAAAACTCCAGCTTGGACCTTTTATTGTACTCTTCAGAGAGACGCTCCATCAGCATAGAGGTGAAGCCTGAGCCAGTTCCTCCTCCAAAGGACCGGAAGATTAAGAAACCCTGGAGCCCTGTGCACTGTTCAGCCTGCAGGAAAACATGGATGTTAAAATGTTGTCGCTTGGATCAATGTGGTTTCTCAAGTGGAAAATCTGCACATCTAAAACTTGAAATGAGCTGACCAGTTTACGAGTCCTATCCATAACCTCTTCGATGACACTCTGTCCAGCAGTGTAGCGACCACGAGCAAAGTTATTTGCTGCATCCTCTCTACCTGTGATCAGCTGCCCAGGGTGGTAGAGCTGGCGGTACTTTCCACTTCGCACTTCATCTGAGGAGCAACAAGAAAAGCTCCTCCCATTTTTTAGTTATCAAATACTTAACAGTCATCTCTAGCTATTAAGATTTAAAGAAACTCAGTTGATTGACAGAAAAAAAGAGAGCATTTTTCATAATTTCAATAATGTTGGTTTGAAGTTGTTTACCAATGACTGTTGGCTCCAGGTCAACAAAAATAGTTCTGGGAACATGTTTTCCAGAAAAAGTCTCACTGAAGAAGGTGCTGAGGGAGTCATCTCTACCTCTACCATGCATGGTGCCGAGCATCTGACCGTCTGGCTGGATGCCATGCTCCAAACAGTAGAGCTCCCAACATGAATTTCCAATCTGGGTGCCGGCCTGGCCAATGTGAATGGAAATGCACTCACGCTGTAGAAACAAAACAGCGTTAAAGGTCAATCACCGGCTTAATCCCTGTTAGACAATGTAATTTAAAAGATTCTTCTTCTTCTTTTTTGCATGGTTTATTGGCAAGTGACAACCAACGCTAAACTGATGTGCTGCTGTATTTTTCTATCCCTTTTCATTTCTTCACACCCCCCCAAAATGTATTTAAATGAATGACATTGTACATTTCAAAATACTCACCATTTTTAAAGACACAAGTCCTCGTTCACCAGTTGACAGCTATGTCTCTTCAGTGTTCTATACAGTCCCATTCATGCCTACTGAAATACTTTGTATTTTAGGTGTAAAGAGAACTGTTTATATGACATTTTATTTACTTTAGATCAAAGGCGTTACCTTTACATTTTATATATATTTACTGTGAAGCCACTATTAATTTGATCACCATCCACACACCTCATTTTAACAAGTTTTTATTTTATTTAGAAATGTTTTTATCCCCTAAGTAACAGAGCAATGAAAAGGGGAAGAGAAGTACAGCACTAGATGGCAGCAATGCACCTTGAAGTTGGTTGCCACCCACCGATAAACCGAAAAAAGAAGAAGAACTTCTTTGGCGGGACACAATTGTCTGCCCAGCCCGCCCCTCTTGCCACAACATCAAAGGGCATCACCATCATCCACTGTGTGTTTAAAGGTTCGTTGTGTAGAATTTAGTGATATCTAGTGGTGAAGTTGCAAATTGCAGCTGAACACCCCTCACCTCACCCTCCCCTTCCAACATCAAAGAGAACCTGTGGTAGCTTCAGTTGTCATAAAAACCCAAAAGGTTTAGTTTGTCCAGTTTGGACGACTGTAATAAAACATGGCGACCTCAGTAGAGAGGACCTGCTCCAGATGTAGATATAAATTATTTAATCTAAAGGGCCCATTCTAGAGTAAAGAAAACAACAATTCATACAATTCAAATGAAACACACAAGTTAAAACATCACTAGGATTATTTTATATCCAATTTGTACCAATAGATGGCATTCACCTAAATCGTACACAGTGAACCTTTAAATATCATACTTCTTCCCCATTCGGTACTGTATCTCTTGTTACCCTTGATACTTCACATTTACATTCTGAGACGCAGTAACATTACAGAATATAACAGCTAATTTGGAGTTTCAATAAAGCATTAGAACCAAAAGAAACATCATAAGAGACGTAAAAAAATATCTGTAAAATGTGTTTTAATACGTTGGCGGATTACTGGAAATAAATAATTCAATTTCTGAATTGCACCTTGACACATAGTGTGGAATAATAAATCATTCAAGCACAGCATTATTCCACAACAGAAAATAAAGCACAAAAATTATAAAATATTTAGATAGAATTAACATCAATATGATTTAACAATTCAAAATTGTTAATATTATATAATCTTATTACATTTTTATATATGTGTGTTTATGCATCTTGGGGGGGGGTATCATTTGGTGTTTATTAATCTTATCTGAAAATAATCTCGGTGATAAAAAAGTTAAATGCAGTGCAACTTTATTGTCCCTGTATTGTCACATGTCCAACAATTACTCCATTCATCTACCAAAAAAATGTTGAAATCATTTCACATTTACATTTAAAAATTTAGCATTTACACATATATGTGAATAAAATAACAGCAATAATTTCCTCACTGGACTTAACAGTGGCACATTTTCATTTAGAATTCTACAGGTAAAGTATTGTAGGTATAATTATAAATATCTATAGTAAAACTGCACTTTGATAGAACTGAAAGTGAACTCACCCCAGCCATGTACAATATCAGAGCTAATTAAGCAGATACTTAATGGCCTCTTGAAACTGCTACAGCAAATAATATAATTTAGTTGTATTTATGTACATTATAAACATGTTTTGTTTTTAATAACTTACATAATGCACAGGTAAAGGGGAATCTATTAGGTACATTTCATATTAAAAAGGTCTGTGACAGTATGGCTTTGTGAATATACATTACAATATTGTCATCAGAAAAAGCAAGTGCAGTCAATTTAGACTGCCTTTCAGCATCTTTCTGTTTCAGTGTTACGTCACCTCAATGGTTCATTGAACTGCAGCGCACTATTGATTTTGATATGGAGACAAAAAAAAACAGTCGTCCAAAGCTAATATGAAAAATATGACTCTTTCTGCAGAAATTACAAGATGCTTAAAGACAGACTTTTACTGACTGTGTAGGCCACACTATAAAGCATAAGGAGTAGCCTCTACTTGCTAAGCAGCGTTTTAAGGGAGCGGGTGAGTGCGTTAGCGATGGCCGACATAGTACTGGAGTGGCGGACCAGGGCTTTAACGCTGTGCTCCCCTGGTGCTCCCACGGTGGCAGTCTCAGCCGCTTTGAGCAAACAGATGTAGTTCATAACAACCTCATCAACCTTCGCCACCACTTCTCTCTGCTGGTGTGGGGCAGAGACTCCGAGCCCCCTCACCAGACACATACAGGCTTCGCAGAGGCAGCAAAGCACCTGGAAGCTACAAGTCACAGCGAGCAGCATCTCCTCAGGACTGCTGTGGGCCTGTGCCATCCTACGGCATGCCCGGCCTAATTCCTTTGACTCTACAGAGAGGAGCTGCTTGTACTGGGAAACATCCTGGATTGGCATCTGGGGTCCGCGGTCGCAGCGACCCACGCTGGATCTCACCAGTGCGATGAGCTCACTGGCATCGCGGCGGACATCGGTGAAGCCAGATGGGAAGCCGTACATGCGGTCCTTGAGTGCGTTAATCCGTGCAAGACGGTCACTGAAGCTCATGTTATTCAGGACCTCTCCGTAGAGCTGCTCCCCAGCTGCGTCCAATGCTGAGCCACAGGGAAATATGGCTGCTGCAGCGGCACTGTCATGCTCCATATTACGGCTTCGTCTGGGCCTCTCCCACTCGATCTCATCCTCCTCGCCCTCACTCTTACGTTTGAAGAAACAGTAGCTAAAAGGCCCGTTGCATCTCCAGGGACTGGTGTCCAGTTTTTGAGAGCCCTTCATGTGTTTAGTGTCTTTCTGCAAAGGAAATGCCACAGATGCCCGTCTACTGTCTATCCTGCTGCCTGTAGACCAGCATGTGGTGTGGGAAGATACAGAACCTTGGGAATAGCTCTTGGAGAGCCGCTTCCTTGTTGGCCTCCGCTGGACTTTGGTCTCACCTTGCTGGGGCACAGATGGCAACAAGGGCTGCTGACTGCGGCTGCGGGTGGGCTTTTCAAACAGAACCTCCACACTCCCAGAGCTGGCAGTGACATTACTGGAGCTGCGCTTGAGCTCCCGGCCCCTTTGCAGGCTATTACTGAAGGTATCTGTCTGGGGAAGGGGTGTAGATATGGCCTGAATGTGATTCTGACTCTGCCGGGACTGAAGCAAATGGATGGAATCTTGCGTGAATGCTGAATTGCTGGAGCTAGTGTTGGCTTTAGATAAAGGAGGAGGCGGAGGTGGTGGCGGCGGAGGAGGTGGAGATTGTAGGTTGGGAGCTGGAGATGTAATGCAAGATCTGCTACTAGATGCCTGCCTGATAAAAGCTGATGGGTGTTCTCCCCTTCCTAGTGAGACACTGTTTAGGTCTGGGCGAGGATGAGGAGACTGACGCACGCCGTGTTTAGCCCTCTGGTCTGATTTTAACCAGTCCTCTGTGCTACAACCAGGTTGGCTTCTTGATCGAGGTGGGGGACGGCTAGTGGTACCCCCACCATTGTGGTTTCCACCTGCGATGAACCCCCCATCCTGGTTGATACAACCCTCGGACTTATACAGTGATAGGAAGTGTTCTGGGTCCATTTCACTCCGCTCTAGCTCATTCTCCAGGCCAGAAAAGGAGCTTCTTCTCTCGGCACTAGCTGGCCTGAATTCTAGATTGTCATTCAGCCTGTTAGCGTGCATCTCAGGACTCCTCTTGAGTTTGGCAGGAAGTGTGGCTGAATTATATGACCGCAGATTTTTATTAGCCAGTTGCATGGTGGCCGCGTTAGGGTTTGCCACATTGGGGTTAAGAAATGGGGATGATATGGAGGAAGGCATACATGGGCAGCGAGCAATGGTGTTCCCCCTGTTCTTAACCATTTCCACAAGCTGAGGGTTGCTAGTGATAAAGCGCCTGGTGTCCTTTTTCACTGCCCCACCCATGCCTGCACTGTGCAGCTTCCCTCCCTGATGCATCTGGCTGACTGTTAGATAGTTAATCAGTTGTCTGTAGGCCTCACTACCTTCTTTCTGGTTCAGCCCCTTAAAACAGGCCTGTTGTTTTGCATGCAGATCATTGTGGGACTTCTTGTTTCCAGTACCTGTGGTCTCTTTATGCTTTGATGGTGTGGCTGAGGAGGATCGGGCCTGTTCGGCCCCAGCGCCAGGGGAGTGAATATTTGGTAGCATTTTCCGAAGTAGGGCGGGGTCTGCATGGGGGTGGAGGTCTTTTCCCTGCGCGCTTTGAGCAGGGATGTTTTGTTTGCTATCTTCATAGTTCAGCACCCTGAGTAAGGAGGACGAGGAATTGGAAAGTGGGTGCCTTTGCAAATGGTGGTGCTTTGATTCAGTCGCACCGAGGCCAAGCGGTGAGTCAGTTGGGGTGGCGCAGGCACTGCTGTTTGTGCTGCCACCAGCATCCAGTGATGAGCACAGAGAACCCTGCAGTGAACTGTGGGCTTCTCCTTGCAAACTTGAAATCCTTTTTGCAAGGTGGTACTCGCACAACCGTGCAACACTCTGCTGTCTAGAAATTGGTTGATGGTCACTTTGTATATCAGATCCCTGGTTAGACCCCCCAGATCTGGATTTTTTGGTTGGAGAAATCAGTGATGCTACAACAAGATGTTCATCTTGCTCAACAGTCACAGCTCCATTGTCTGTACCACAGTCCCCCATGTTGACACCATCTAAGAGGCGATCTGAGGCAGAGGAAGGAGGGCGGGGAATTCTGGGATGGTCAGAGGGGAGGCTGTTTGCTCCAGGATTTTCTGCCAAAAAAGAATTTTGCCGTCCTTGACTTTCCCCTCTCTCGCAGAACGAAGTGCGCTGGTCCAAGTTGAGATGGCTGCGACTGAAGCCACTCTCTCCACGATGCCCTTCCCTTGTGCTGAAGGTGTTATATTTCCCACTGGAGTCTGCAGACTTCTTGTGATGCTTCCCTCCGGGTGTGGTGGAGCTTGGGCGCTGCAGAGTGGACGAGAGGTTAGTCTGGGACCTCACCACTAAGGTGTCTGGCCCTGATGATGTGGTGTCCAAATGGGGGCTCCGTCTTGGAGGAACTGCTGGAGGCTGAAGGTGCCTTGTTGGACTGAGAGGTTTCTTCTGCATTGTTCCTCCTGTCCTGGGTGAGATGGGGAATTCGGTTTTCTCCTCAAGCAAAGGTTGGTATCCCTCCCTTGTGGCCACAAGGAGACGCATGTGGCTCTCACTGAGCCTGTGAGAAGCCGCCAGCTCAGAGATTTCAGTCATCTCTGAGGAGTTGGTCTCATTTCCAGAATCTGAGGATGACCCTGGGCTGAAGCCTCGAGATGCAAAAACACCTAAAATATAGGAGACCAAAGTTAGCTATGGGTCAATCAACTAAAAATTCAATAATGTTTATTCATATTTGCAATTTACACATTGTAAAAATTGTTTTAATGAATGTGTTTTTTGACTTTGCTAACTTAAAGGGGGCAAAAGGTATTTTGGGGGATTTAGAAAAGGGTAAAAAACATCTCACAACAAGAACAGAAATAATCACATTTATAAAAAAATATTTTTGATGCTATATTTTCATAAAATCCAAATTTTTTGTGGTTTAAATCATCAAATGACAGAATCAAACTTTTTTCCCTGGGACACAGGATTTATTTCGGGTAAGTACGTTTGAGTAAGAAGGTGTGAAAACCAAAATGAGGGTGATAAAACACAAACCTGGGTTGTTACTGTTGGGTGGTGGCGGAGGAGGCCTCTGCTCAGAGACAGACAGAGCCTCCAATGCCTGTAGAGTATTCACAACGGCATTCTCCAGCCTCGTCTCCCCTCCCCTGGACCCTTCCCCCTCTCCATGTGTTGGAACGGCGTCAATTAAAGATACCGGAATATCGTCATTGTCCCGCGTGCTTAGAGGCCTCCCCTCGGGTGCCGCATCCTCATCAGAACTGTCTCGAAAACCCTGTGGTGGGGCCGCGATTGCGAGGTTGAGCGTCTGCAGCAGCGTGTCATCCTCATCCTCGTCGACCCCACCGTCTCCCTCAGGAGGAGGGAGCGACGTCAGGTCGATGATGTCATCCGTAGAACCAGAAAGCGTGAGGAAGGTGGATTTCCCAGCTGCAATGGAGAGCCCTCCTCCTTGGTTACTGCAGTTATCATCTCCCCCTCCTCTGCCATCACCCACAGGTGTCCCCCCAGTGGAGTCTTCCTCACAGGAGGCATCATCGTCATCCTCTGCGTCATCCGTCGTGTCGCGATAAAACAGGTCTCTCAGCAGTGGCTCCTCACCGCCTTCCTCACTGATAATGTTACTATAGACATGTGTCAGACCACTAAACTGAAATGGCACTGTATCCTGTGACTGAAAGTCTGTGTTGTTGTGCAAGTATAGCGGCCGGTGCTCCGGTACCTCAGGGCTCTCCAGTAGTCTCTCATAGCCTAAGTTTTTAGACTTGTTCAAGGGTTGGTCCCCCCCGAATATAAACGACACTTTGGCACTCCGAGGTGAGTCTTGAGGTTTGTGTCTGGTGGCGGGGGGAAGTGGAGGGGGCAATGGACTTCTCCGTGTCCCAAGGTCTCTGTCGGGGTTTTGGGGTTCGTGAAAGTACGGGGAGATGCTGTTCTCTCTCTGCCCGTTGTCTGAATACGCCGAGTCTCGGTTGTAGACCTCTCCCTGGCCAGGTGATGGCTCATTTTCCCCCAGAGATGTGCTGTACGGCCACTCCAGCACACGATCATGACCTGCACACAGCGGGAACACAGGGTTTTATTACTTTATGTTTTTTTATATTTGATTATGATTACATTTTAAAGGATCTTTCCTTCACTAGACTTTTGAGAGCTCTTCTTCAAGACTGTGAAGTTTTGTGCTGCACTGTGAAACATAAATTTTTCGACCATCTCAATATAGCCTTGAGCTGCTCTCTTTTAAAACAGAGAGTTAATCAACAATTTGTATAGTGGTGTCCTGCCACTTGTTTCCACAGTAGTCAAAGTGAAGAAATACATTCTCACCCCAATTGACATTTGTTTCAATAAAATATTTAAATACTTCTAAAATACCTTAAAATGTGTCTATTTTCTTGTGTATTTACTTTACATTTCTTGTGCAAGGCCTTGTCAAAACATGCCAGATAGTCATCTTCCCTTCTGACTTTTATTCTTTTAAAAAATTAAATAAGAGCAAAATAATGGATCTAAAAAAAACTTATATGATCCATCATTAATGGATATGAGGCATGTTAAAAGGCAATTTATAATAAAGATGAAATACATAGCAAGAGAGGTATATTTAAAAGTGATAGTTAAAGGTACAGTGTGTAGACTTTTGTGATATCTAGTGTTGAAATTGCATGTTGCAGCTAAACACCCCTCACCTCACCCTCTCCTTCCAAACATGAAAAAGAACATTTGGAACCTTCAGTTGTCATAAAAACTCAAAAGTTGTTTAGTTTTTCCAGTCAGTTGTATTTTTGTATTTATGAATAGTTGAACCTTTCTTTCAGGGACTAGGTTATTATTATAACATTTGAATATATACTATCTTGACCACAGACACAGTTAAAAATCACTCACTGGTGTCATCCCCTCCTGTGTTGTTGCAGTGGGCCATGCTGAAGATAGATCTCCTTGAGTCCACTAGGAGGCGATAGTAGCCTGCTGTGAGGCAGGCCAGGTTCATGGCATCACTTGACTCCATGATGAGTGTGATGGGCTGTAAAAAAAAGAAAGGGAAGAAGACAAGAGAGGAAAATCAACAGATGATAAAAATGGTCTCAGACTAAATTCAGTTTGTTGGTACAGAAAGAAACTCACCCTGACGTCCAGAACGTGCAGCTCCAGCCGGACGTTGACGTCGTCCTCCGTGAGGATCTCGATGCGGTTGACGTGGCTGAAGTCGGCCAGCAGGGCCACTAGGTTGGTGCGGGTGTTGATAACATGACTGATGCCGTATCGTGGGCCCACTAACAGCGTCACTTCTGTCTGTTTCTCCCCTTGCTACAGAAAGTAAATGTGAGCGTGTTAGACACCAGGCTGAAAGGTTTTAGCAGAGAGATTGACCAAACAGAAGTTTCTCTTCAGACCTTCATCATTTCTAAAACTAATGGCCTTACCAAAAGTATTGATTTGAACTCCCTCCCTCCGTACAGTCTGAGTTCACTGAGGTACCTCAGGTAATGCACCTTGGCCTGCAAAGCAGTCAGCTGCAGAGAGGAGTGAAGTGCATTAGTAAGCATCTGAAATGGAATCACTTCGAACCCAACAGAAGCATTTGTCTTCTAATGTCAGAATGTGACGCATTTCTCAAGCCATTTTGATCTGGACCACTGATTTTCCATTACATCCCATCATATAAATTAAATCTGCTCAAATTCTGAAGAGCTGGTCCACCGCAGAGCTCTTTATGTTTTCTTGCCTCAATGGTTTTTAAAAATCAAACAAGAAAAAACCTAGTGCATCTAAAGCTTCATGTATACAGTATATACAATATTTAGGCGACTTATATTGCACATTATATTTGCTGTGCATTCTCTTATGTCCCCTAAATTTGACAATACACCTAGTCGACAGTATAATCCACTGATATTTTACCTCACTATCTTTCTCAAAAACAAAAGGCCAATGGCCATGTCTGACCTCGCCTGCTGAAACTAGACATCCCCAATTAAAATATAATTTTGCTGCTATAAAATTCTCGCTCAGTCCTCTGCCCTTCCACAAAACCGAGCAAACAGCCTCATTTGATGAGGCTGAAGCGATAACTTCAAGAGCGTAATGAGAAAGCTGACTTGGAGCGCCGGCGACGTTGGTTCATCGGTGCTTCTCTGCCTTATTCCTCCCTAATGAATAGACGAGATATTAGCTGCCACTGTGAATACAAATGATTAACCTGCACATTCGTAATGCTCGGGCTCGGAGGGAAGAGATCAATATCTTTCAGGCATTTTATTACACACTTATATTAGCATATACACCAATGGAGTTCAGGCATGTTTACCCTCAGCTACATCCCATCATCCGCTGCGGAAAGGATGATTAGCTTTGACACAGAGCAGTTCTAATTTGCCTTGTGATGAGTGATGTTGTCCAAATAATCTGCTTCAGTGGCTGTTTCATTTCTCAAAGACATCATATCTAATAAATAACTTTGAGAATTTAATCTTGTAATGTTTTTCATTGGTAAACGGAGGACAGGGACAGCAAGTTCAGTCACATATCACCATCATTTTCTGTAATATTTATTTTTTCATTTATAATTTTTTTATTTTAATCATTGAAAGAGGGGTTTGCCTAATTTTAACAAGATTTGCTGAAAAATATCAGATAGTTCAAGTGAAGCTCGGTCAGTGGCATCTGACTGTGAGTGAATATAAAGATCTTACCGAGCACGCAGTGTGAAAATGAACTTTGCTTGCTATTTGCATTATCATTCAAGGTCTGGCTCGAGGGTCGTAGGTTGACATGGGTGAGAACCCAGACAAGGTTGAGTGGGGCAGCGATGCTATTTTAAGGTATTGCGTCAGAAAACAAAGAGAGTGTATTTTTGCGCATGTGTGTGTGTCAGAAGTTGATCAACAAGGGCAAAGAAAGACAAAAGAGAGCTGCTTACTTTTTTCCCTGGAGGCACGAGGTTCTGGTTGGTTTTGAGGATGTGTGTCAGAGCCTTCCTGATGTTTTTCTCCTTCATGGTGGACAGCACGGCAGGAGGCAGGAACACCGGCAGACCCCATTCTTTTCTGTTATGAGGAGATCGATTTACGTTTAAAGTGACTCTTCCACTGGACCTGGGACAAGCACTTAGAGTCAAAGGCTAGAAATGATGTGTTCACTCTCTTAAAGCTGTCAGTACTGGAACCGAAGTCTGAGTCTAACTTTCAAGAGGAGAATTGCTCTGTGGAAAGTGCACGCACAGAATAGGAGCTTATTTATGGAGGTGTATTAGTAGAAGAAAATAAAAAATAAAATAGAGTACTTGAATATTAATTTGTTTTTGTATATTTTGTGTTTTTGATTTTTATACTTTATTTATATGGAGAAAGAAAATTGAAAACAACAATTCATCTTTCTCTGATTATTCTCTCTTATTACTGAAGGTGCGGCTCCAGGCAGTTTAAAATCACACTTCATGTTATTGGCTACAAAAAACCGCCACTAAGTTCACACACACTTACTGGATGTATTTGAGTGAGACCTTCTGGCTCTGTCTGGTCGTCATGGTGAGGATGTACATCTGCAGTGCAGCCAATCGCAGCGCGGCATCGTACTTCAGCTCGGGGCCGAACCTCTCCAAGACCACGTCGTTACAACTCTACAGAGAAGCAGGTCGAAAAAGTCACACGAGTGCCCTCGAAGAAATCATGTCTTTGGGCTTGTGAAATGAGTTTGGTCTCTTTTTAGACCGATGAATCTCCACTAAGTCCAAGTAAGTTCTTCACGTTGGCGGCTTGAGATTAGTTTAAAGAGAAACAGGGTCCACTCTCTGATGAATTACTCAGAAGCACTAAACGGTGACTCTGACAAGAAGAGATGATTCGCTTTCCTTCTCTCAGGCGGTTTCACGTGACTAATTATCAAAGAATCTAATGGGGAAGTCATTTTCTTTTTTACCAGGGCAGGATAGGGTTTATTTAAGGGCTTTATTTGCACATGAGGGTTTGTCTTGAAAGGATTCATTTAAATATAATCAGAAGTCAGATCCAAACTGCACCCCCCCTTAAAGATAATTTATCTACCTAATATGTATTGTTTAATAAAGTATAAAGCAGCTTTAAGATTTTGCTCACCTGCACGTAGAGGTATTCAAACGCCACAGCGTCTCTCCGGAGCAGCTCGACTGGGTCCCGCGGCATGAAGCTGATCCTAAAGAAACACTTCATCTTGTCAGAGCCGTACCTTTGGGTCACCTGGGGTCGCAGAGGCAGGAGAGAGCAAAAAAACACTTTACTACTTTATATTAAAAAAAACAGAGGGTCACAATGTCTTTACATTATTCAAGGTTATTGTCATTCCAATAAGGTGCATGCTGCAACATAAAGAATGTTCGTAGCAGTAAAAGCAGTAGGTATGGTAGTAGTGGCCATAGTGGTACGGGTGGTAATAGAAGCATTAACAGGATTAGGTGTAAGATCCGTGAGATTAACATTGGCTCAGTGCAAGAAGTAGCAGTATTAGGAGTATTAGTAGGTGTCATGTATTGGTAATAGTATTACTAGTTATTGTAGTAATGTGACAGTGAGATAGAGGGTGGAGGTATTCATTAGGCGGATAGGGCTGAATGCAAAGGAGTGGAATTATGGAAAGTGTAGGATTCAGTGAATTTGGAGGCTGATGCTCAAGGACTGTAAAATCTATAATGCACCAATATGCACCGAAGTTAATGGCTGGATGGTGCATGGTGTTCTCAGGGATGAACCCATTGAATTTTAGTGCAGCTCTGGGCAAAGGAAGTTTATGAAATACTTTCTGTGGCATTTTTGTCAGTTCCTTAAATAACTACTTCCTCCTACATCTACAAATCCCTCCATGTCCTGACTCCTCAGCACCTGTCTGACCTCCTCACCCCCTGCACTCCATCTCTTACCCTACGGTCCTCTGATATGGTCGACTACCTGAGAACCTTTGCGGTGACAGGGCGTTCAGCGCAGAAGCCCGGAGGCCTTGGGAGCTTTCTTCTGACAGAGGTCCACAATGTCCCATCTCCTGACACTTTTAAAGACTCCTTAAAACAAAAGTCTTTTGACCTTTAGTTTCTTTATCACCCGCTGGAATTTCTCCTATTTTTTTTCTGTCCAATTATTTTCTAACTTTAATAAGCAGCCTTGAAAGGTTTAAATGAATCCAAGTATATTATTATTAAGGGATTCCTGAAAAAAAGGTTTGGTGCAAAGATCTACGACTTTATGCAGAGTTACTTCCTGTTTTCTTTCTCTATTCTAAGAGTGAGATAGAGATGTAAGATTGTTCTACTAACAAATGTATTTAGTAAACAGAGATATCAAAGTATAAGTACAAAACGCACAGTAGAAAGTCTAATATAATAGTATTATTACTAATCCATCGTCATATAGCAACATAATAAAGTAATACTGAGACGAAAGGGTAGTTTAATTCACAGGTGTCCAACCTTAATACCTACTGTCCCCTGCCTATATGATTTGTTCCAACCTCTGTCTGACAGTAGGGATTGGATTCACACTGGATTTATATAGTTTAATGTTGTCATTATTACCTCATCAAATTATACCAACCTGTCACAGAGTCACTTTTTTACAGTATAGTGTATGTTTTATCAAACGTGTCGGAGAAGAATGACTCTGAAACATTAATCTGCCATTGTGTGGGTGTGGCACATGCAGAGCTGGAACTGAGTGGTATGAATATTAAAATTGTCCTCTTGTGATGGTGCAACCTCATTAAAATGTAGCGGCCACTGTGGATGTGTGTGTGTGTGTGAGGGAGGGTAGGTGTAATGTGAGCTGTCGCCCCTGCTGTGCCCGGGCTGATAAATTGACACCGAGGTCCAAGTGCTGCTTGAATACTGATGTGTGTGTGCAAGCTGGTGCGTGTATCCGAGTGTGTATGTGTGTGTCAGACAGAAAAAGAGACAAAGAAAGGGAAAGGAAAACAACCCGTACCTGAGTAAGCATCTCCTGTTCGTGCAGGAGCAGCAGTCTGCTGCCAGATCCCTCCGCCCTCTGCTCCAACATGAGGGAGAAGTGCTCAATGCATTTGATTGACAGCTTCTCCTGCAGGGTCAGGATCACATCCTGAGAGAGAGAGAGAGAGAGAGAGAGAGAGAGAGAGAGAGAGAGAGAGGGAAGAAATACATTCATAAAAATAGTTGTAGCGTTGACTTTTTAGTTTAGTTTTTTTTACCCGGAGGAAATAATGCTCGACCAAAACAAGGTAAAAACACAACTTTTAGTGAAATCCTCAAGCGACTAACAGACCTGCCTCTCATTTGATCACTGACATTTTACCTTTTTTCAGCAGAAAACCAAAGTTTACTGCTTTTTAGAAGCAACGTGTTATCGTCATGGTGACTGCCCTCTCCTTTTTAAAACAGGCTACTGCAACTGAATTTTGACTGTTGGCTGATCTGGAGGCAGGTGACCAATCTGTAGTTGTGGGGATGGCTGTCTATCATTTTTGATTTGTTGTAAAGAGGAACAAATATTTGAATGGGAATTACAGTTTACGAACACTGGCCTTCATATTAATGTTACATTACCATTTAGAGAACTGGTCCAGCTCAGGAGCACCATGGTCCTCCACCACGCTAAAGCCCACTTTGAGGGGTTCTGGAGGGGGTGATTCCTCCACTGTGGCAGCCTCAGCCCCCTGCCCAGTTTTCAGCATTTTTCTTTACCTCTTTAACTTTTGTAGAAAGTTAAGTTTGCATTTACCGATTAAAAACGAGAGCATGCTCTTTGCTTGAACGAGGTGCTCAAACAAATGGAACTCGAAAAGTGACTAGTTTCATGGTCTGTGCGAGTGTATCAAGACACACACTAATTTGCATTCTAAATGAAATTCTCTCTTTGTAATCATAGATACTGCAGCGACTGCTAATTTTCTTGAGTGTGCCTTAGGGGTGGCACACACACATACACACACACACGCACACACACAGACACACAAACCTTGATCGAGGTACTGCTGTCAAAGCGAAAAGACTTTGTCTGCCCGTTCTCCAGGTAGACCTTCAGGACATTTGGCATGAACAGAAGAGAATTGTCCTTCACCGGGTTCTGCGGAGGAGGAAAGTGATCGGTCTTTTCATCCGGAGCGTTAATGGTCACGAGAACAGAAAACAGGTGAAGTGTTTAATGCCTGAAACAAATTACAGTAATCATAAAACTGTCATGTCCTTACACAATTTTGTGATTGAATCATCTATATGCCGCACTGAATTGTCTGACTTATGTGGTAAGTTGCAACCATCTGGCATCATCTATATAGGTCATACATAAGCGTGCATGTGTGTGTCTGTGTGTGTGTGTGTGTGGTACTGACTGGAACCTGGCCGTTTATAATGACCTCCTCTGCAAAGCGCACTTTGACCGGATTGGACTTGAGCATGGCTTTTTTGGCTGCACTGATGAACGCTGATTTAGGGGACTAGGAGGCGTTCGTCCAAAAAGAGAGAGGAAGGGAGACATAGAGGAAGAAAGAGACAGACAGATGGAGGGGGAGAGATAAAGGGAAGCATCAACACACGGTCAAATGAAGAGGAAAGAAAACTGGTTCCGGCACATTAAGTCGATATGGGAAAATAGCAAATTTATAAAGACATCAGGCTGAATTTGCTGACATAGAGGAAAAGCAAACAGGGTGTGAACAATTGAATGTTATATATAATATATTATTTGCATGCATGATGCAGGATGAATTCATTTAAATGGAGGATTGCAGAGTCATTATTTCCTCTCCTCTTAGGGAAAAGTCTGGTGTTTGTCTTGTTCCCATCAAACAATCAGAAAAATATGACACGTCATCACTAATTATCTAACAATTAGAAGATTTACAGTCACATGATCTCTTTCAACTTCCTGACCTTCGAAAAGACAGATGCCTGGCAAGCTCATTCTGCTAATGAGCATTATGGGACATAGCAGAACACTCAAAGGTCATGCAAAAACGTGTCACCCGCCACCGGTGTGTTTAATAGTTGTTGGACGGCACTGGAGCTCAGTGGCACAGAGAAGATATAAAAAATGATTTGAAATATGTAAGTGGGATCCAGCATTACATTATTTTGCTGAATTATATATAGGTATCATCTGTGACCTATAAGAAGATAAAGAGATAAGGAAGAATCCATGTGGTCTGTTCTAAAAATGTGACCGCAAGAGGTGATGTACTCACAGGATACGGTTGGACAACAGTCAACATGATGGATTCTTTGCAGCTCCTGAAACAAGAACACAAGGCAATTCGAGTTGAGTGGACAACATTTTTAAAAGAAGACAATCGCAACGAATAACATGAACATGGCAATCACAGCTCACAAGAAGAAACAGTTACAACTACCACACGCACACACACATATCCACTCATTATTTCTGCATAAAAAAAACAGCATTTCCAGCAAACCGAAACATGATTTGAGTCGCGGTGAGCTGTGTGTGTAGAATTAGCACAACGCTTATTAATTTCTCTTATTAATTTCGCTTATTAATTTCGCTTATTAATTATGAAGACTTCCTGCATTTTGTTTGCATGATGAGCAGAAGGCTACGAGCTGTTAACTAAGGTTTGAGCAGACGAGTGGAAAGCGTCACTCGTCTGGACGAGAACTCCATCAGAGCTTTACAGAGTTTTGTAATTTGAATGATAATAATTATAACAACACAGAAAGTTTTATGCTCTTAACCTGATATATTGCACACTGGAAAACAAGTTCATTTGAAGTAATATTCATTTTTAAAGGTTTCAATGTGTAAGATTTAGGTGAAAGGGATCTATTGGCAGAAATTGAATATAAAATAATCCTCATGATATTTTCACTAGTTCATTTCATCTAAATTGTATGAATTGTTGTTTTTTCCACTCTAGAAAAGTCCCTTTATATTTAAATACTTTATATTTACATCGAGGGGACCCTCTCAACGGAGGCCATTATGTTTTTAACAGTGGTTCAGACTGGATAAACTAAACACCTTTTGAGTTTTTCTGACAACTGAAGTTTACCACAGGTTCTCTTACATGTTTGGAAGGGGAGGGTGGGGTGAGTGATATTCAGCAGCAACTTGCAATATCACCACTAGATGTCACTAAATTCTACACACTATACCTTTAAGTGGTGCAAATAAATAACCGAATACCACATTTCATATAATTAAAATGACACAATGCTGTATCCTTGTCAGTCTGGAAAAAGCCCAGATCTCACTGATGACCATTTTCTCAGGGATTGCAACCTTGGTAAAAAGAAGTTCCAAGTAGAATTTTTTATTATTTCCATTAAAAATTTAAGTATCAATAACCTGCAGTGAAGGATTTTGGGTCAGGCTGTTGTATTTCTTTAGAAAAATCCACCGAGTGACCGACACCAAACTATTACAGCCGTCATTGATTCGTACAAATTACAGCGTCCCTCGTGTTCCTGTATCTACCTGACGAGGTCGATGACTCGTTCTCTCGGAGCCGAGCTGACGGGCTCGTCGTTAATCATGATGATCTCATCGCCTGGCAACAGCCTCCCCTCTGATGGACCACCTACATACAACACACACATAAATAAATGCAAACAAGCTGGCGCTGATCAAACCAATGCTTGATCAAAGCAGCAGTTATTTCTGTCTGTCAGAGATGGCCCGTGAATGAATCAGCATGTGAAGTGTGTGTGCTGTTGTGTGCATATTGTGCTGCAATAGAGATCATTTGTAGACAGCTTTGTATGTGTGTTTGCCTTCTGCCATATGAAATATGTGTGTCACATACACTCCCTTTTCCTGGCTTGCCCCTCTGAATAGAGAATTCGTGAGTTTAGCCGTCTGTTTGGCATTCAGCACTGATTGATTATTGAGACTCCTTATCACAGTGTGTGTCTATGCAGCCACTGGAGCTGACGGCTGGTTGGAGCAGTGATTTTGCATTCACCAAGAATAAGCAATACTTCCAGAAATACATGAATTTGTGTTTTCTTGCATGGGTCAATACTCCTCACTTGTTCAATCATAGGCAGGAAGAGGCAACAGTCTGCATGGTTTCCCTCTAAACACTCATTACAGCAAGTGTTTGCACTGATTAGCACAAATCGTAAGTTGGAACTAATGAAACCACCCACTTAAGATTGAAATAAGATAGCACAGTGAGTCTTTCTTGTATAATTGTATAAAGATTGATGACATGACTGCTCCCCAAAAGTCAAAACGTCTCCCTGGTGGTTGGCTACAGTATAAACCATAAAAACCTGGATAAAACTAAACACTTTGAAATGAGGAGGGTTGAGTCCTACACTTCTGGTAGCTGGTACAGTGAATGTTACTAGAATACTCCTAAAATATGTGATTTTAAGCCCAAGACTTTTTACAAAGAGCCCACCTGGCGTGACAGAGCGGACCACCACTGGTTTCTCACTGCCTGCCACAAATCCGAAGCCCAGGACCGGGTCCCGTCTCATCTCTACCAGGCGAGGGGTGGGGGGGACCCCATCCAGATGAACCTCCTCCAGGGAGCTGCTCTGGGACACTTGGCTGGAAAACAAAGCAAAAGAGGAATCTAGTAAATCAAAATATCCATTTGGCCATAGAGATAAGTCAAACAAGGACATCATACAGAGGACTTTGATTCACTCACAGAGCAGTTCAGACTATTGGCTGCCGACTGAGCCAGAGTGACGGACAATGACTCAGCAAATAACAGGAGAGGACATGGTGCTGGTAATAAGCACAATGACTGTTACAGAGATCAAACCTGTTCTACTAGCTGAAAGTAATGAATTGCACATTAAAATTCGATCAATGACTTCATTGCTACAGTCAAAATAGTTTTAACCTGGGTAGATATCAATAAACTTGAAATGAATGATGCGATCAGCTGTTCATAAATCAGAGACCTGGCCCGGGTTTGGCCATTAGCACAACATTTTATGCTTAAGAGCCACATATAAAACTGAGCACAGGTCCTGCATTTATGAGATGTTTTGAATTTTAAATCTGGAACTGATTCTCCTCCCTAGTCTGACGCCTATTCACAATCCGGAAGAAACCTTTTTTTATTTAATTTCTTCTGCAGCATCCCATGTCTCTCTCACTTCATGTGAGACTGACAATTAACGATGACGGCAACCGACATTTAATACAACGTCAATGCAGGTTAAGTTTCAAATTGTCCTTTTCTCAGCCTTACTGCAAGTCACTTAGGATGAGAGCACCACTTAAGTGTAAATGCACTGTATTAGATTACAGTGAGATACTGAGAATGCAGAGTGCCCGTTAATTAAGAGGTGAAATACACTTTCAGCTGGGTTAACTCGTTCTCTGTCTGTCTCCATTTCTACCACCCTCTCTCTTTCACAGCTTAAAAAGCTTCCTTGGCAGCCGTCGCTTCCTCCCTGAACATAAAGTCCTGTGCAGGGTGTCTATTGTTACTTGGCCAACATCCTCTCCATCTCCACCTGCCTTGACCATCCATATGGTGGAGCATGTGAATTTCCTTCCTCATCCCTCCTACCCTCTACACGGTCACAGATGTTTTATTTGTTGGCAAACATTGGTGGAACTGTGTGATTTTGGCATCGCTCACTGACCTAGGAACTTTGTCAGATTGATACAAATATACCTGCAGCTTTAAATCCAGCTTGATTATGATTAAAAAGATTCCAGCCATACGGGATGCAACTTCATCTACAACCAATATGGATTAGTCTCAATATCCGCCCCACCTCCGACCTTTTCTTCCCCTTGCGCTTTCTCATTCTGTCTTTCTCTCGTCTTCATTATCGCGCGGGTCTGCATTGTACATACTGAAATCTCAAAACTAAATCTGTTTGTAATGAAGCATGTTCCAATCTGCGATGCAGGCTCATCTTCCCTGTCAGGGTCGGTGGGGTTTAATCCCACATGGAGAGAAGAGCATTGATGTCAGAGGGTCAGGGGAAAGCTGACAACATAAGGTCAAATGCAATAGAGCAAGTGCGATGCTAAATTCAAACTGATGCAACATGCTCAGGTCAAAAATCACCAGTGATTAATCACATTTATAATATTATTACACTTCCCTGATTTTTGGACTGATCTACAGATACTTATTTTCATCCATAAGTGTAAATATATTAAGACAAAGCCTCTATTTGCTGTCCCAAAAAAAATGTAATAAAAATCCCTGATGTATATGGAGAAGGAAGTCATTTTTGACAAAGGTAATGAATTGAAAATTGAATGTTTGGTATTTTGTCTAATTGTCAGTTTCTTCACAGATATCCTCAAAAAATGAACAATATCGTGCTATATTTGAATATTTGTAGCCATGTTAAAAGCAGTATTCAGTGGTCGAGCAGCGCGTAGCACTCAAAAACCTTCTCAGTAGAGCTGGTTATGGGAGTTATCTGTGCAATAAGGTTAAATTACTCACTTTCTTTCCATCTCTATTTTTTCTTACTTTATTTCTCCATCACCAACTCAAAAGCCAACAGCTTCTCTCTGAGAACAAAGCCACAACTGTCATCTTCCTCATATTTGACTTCGTGAGGAGATATGAGGGAGAGAATGTAATAGGAGGGGTGACAAAGAGGTGGAGGGGGGAGGGGGTGCAGGAGCAGGACATTGAGGGGTGAAGAGAAGAGACTGGAGAGAAAAAAAATTACAAAAAACAAACAGAGAGAAAAGATAACGAGAGGAAATATAAGGAGGATGTTCCACTGAGAAGTGCAAGTGAAAGAAAGGGAGGATAACATATATTAAGCAGCAGCAGAGACCAGACTTGGGTCTTGCAATCTGAGGAGTGGACTTTCAAACAGCAACTTAATGGATGGACTGAAACCAACTCTGTTCTTACTGATGGGGAAGGCAGAAATCCACACTGAAGGCATGTTAACCAGCTTCACCACCAGTTTAACGAAGGATTTGTATGTTTGCCTGGTGAGAGGTTTTTCATTCCTGCATCATGAGAAATCTACACAGACTGGTTGAATGTAAAATGACCTGGCCAGATGTTGTGCATCTGGGAGGGAAGAGGTATGCGTAAGTGGGCAAAGCATAGGGCTTGGGCCGGGCAGACCTGGCGGCTCAGAGTTAAACTTGGAACAGAGCTGGTTTCTACCTCATCTCTCATTCTGGCGCTTATTTAAATGGCCACATTTTAACTGCATATTAGATCCTTGGATTTTTCTTCAAACGGTCTATACTCCATATTTGTATATTGTCCATTCTGTGCAGGTATACACTGTTTTTACTCTATGCACGTAATTGTATCAGTACTTACTCAATGCCACAATAACCAACGTGAACACAACCATCTAATTTAATCTGAAATGCCAATGTGCCACTTTCCATTCACTTCTCATGTATGTATTTTGGATTTCAAGGCATTACTCCCATATCATAACGTGCATGGACGCCTGAAGGCAGTTTTTGCTGTGTCATAAGTACCTAAACAAGGATCTGGAATCATTAAAGATCAGTGAGGACCAATCACTACGGGGCAATCTGATTTACATTCATGATGCAATTCTTTAGTGGTCCGCCATGATGTAACCAGATGTTTGAAACACGGTTGAAACTCGACTGTGAGTTTTGCATGATTGTGCGTGAAGAGATCGGTCGTGATTATGTTCATACATACTTGGTGAGGCAATTCCGTCCCTCCCTGGTGCTGTTCATGCTGTCCCAGCTGTAAGGAGGCCCCTGCAGCCCACCCCATGAGCCCGGACCAGGGGGCGGCCAGCCTGAGGCTTTGTTCTTATGGCTGAAGAAAAAGAAAGAGAATTAAAGTCAGTAATGTGTGTTCAATCCTGACTTTTAGGATTTCATGGAGGGTTTTTGTTCGGGAAGACGAGCTACAGAGCATTACTCAAACACCACACTAAGTGCATACTTCAATCTGTCTATAGAAATAAATAATTTAAGAGAATAATAAAATGAGAATTACAAAGCTTTTCCCCCACTCTAAATAAATAAAGATACCCAGAGACACTCTGCACAGCTCTGGTTAGATTACTATCCCTCTTGTGAGGTTCGCAGTGTGAGAAGGCATTGCTTCGTGCAATCGACCACAGTCAAATGACGCCTCGTTGGCTCTGTAGATAGGCAATCAACGGCTGCATGTACGGTCAATTGCTCTGCAAAATTGTATGTTTGAGCGTTGCGAGGGGAAAGAGCTGATGTGACAGCTGATTCGCTTATTGCAGATTACGCTAACAATGTGATTGAGCATTTCAGGAGAGCGGAGATAGAGACACAGGCAAAGGGTGAAGAGAGAGGGTCCAATGCGGCTCCTGAGCATGAATAATGGAAAAATTTTCAGTTAAACGGATGATCTGTGCTGAGTAAAACCTGTTTCACATGCTACAGTGACAAATTGGGTTCAGCACAGTACTCTATACTGACCGACTTACGTTGTTGGAACCGAGTTCGGACTCTTCAAATGCTACCAGTATCGAGAGAAAGAGAGTGAGTGAGACTATCGTGACTACATCAACTTTGCAGCTTGTTCAAGTCACAGTGGGTCAGGGCAATGGCGAGAGCAGACCATTGTAATAATCGTGATGCAAACTGCAAATCTGGAAAGGGAAGCGCAACCGACCTGATGAACCACCTGGCCAAACACAGAATATATCGAAGGGTTTATGAGTGTTTCATGTTTTAATGTCACCCAGAGGAGCTGCAGCTAATGTTAGCATGACTGGAGCCAGCACCAAAGAAAGCTGAACCCTCTAAGGACAATGGCCACATAAAGTGGGGCATCATCAATCTAGAAGTACTTAAATATTATAGTACACTCTATGTAAGCACTGCAGTAAAAAAAAAAAAAAAGGTGACATTGGGTACCGGTACTATATTCCAGCTACCGTATCAGTTCAAACGTTAATGCTGCCTGACTATAGTTACTAATTATGCACAAATCATAAGGTGCTTATTCCATAAATCTCCACAGAAATAATCACAAATGCAACAGATGTTCATCAAGCCAGATGAATGCAGCTGCTTTTAAGCATCAAGCCGACGCACTTCATTCTAATATTTGATTTATCTTAGTCTTTTGTCCCACAGCCATAAACTCTATTTTATTGTTTTTACCTTAAATCTGTTGCAACAAGCTGATGCATAGTTACAGTGATAATGAAATGATTAACGGATATTCTATTACACAGCAGAAGCACAAGTTACAACATCAGCACCTTGACCTCTGATAAAGTTAAGGACCCAAATGAGTTGCCATTACTCACAATACGAATTCTGAAAATAGGTTAAAAAAGGCATACTAGATGAGGATGTCATCGCCGAAAGAATCCAGCTGATCCATTCCCATATTGTGTTGTTGATGGGTTGAATACATCAGTCAGTCATAGCTAACAGTGTGTGAGAATGAAAACCGTCCGTCAATGCTTCAATTAGAACCGACTGCAAAGAAAACAAAAAACAGTCGATACTGAAGTCCTCCTTAGAAGCAATAGATCCATTTCAACCCTCCAGGCTTCCCACCTCCACTGCTCTTGATTCAGTTGCCGTCTGCTGATCTCCAGTCATCCGAAAGAAAAACAGATTCGCTGCCACCTCGGAATCACAATCAGAGACTCTTGTGTCCAAATTATACTGAAGCCGCGGTGTTACTGGCTGCGCGGATCTCCAGTGTGTAGCCCGACATTCATCTGTGTTTCTCATTGTGCTGCTGCTGAGAGCAGCTTTGGTCCGAACTAAACTAAACTGCTGTGGCCTCGCCTCCTTTATCCCATAATCCCTCTCATCACAGAGAAAACAAATCCACGCTCTGTGTGTGTGTGCGTGTGTGAGTATGAGTATTTGTGTGTGTACGAGAGAGAGAGAGAGATACAGACAGAGACAGACAGAGAGAAAATGAGAGGAACTGTGCACAACTGTTCATGTATATGGGAGGATGGGAGGGTGTGTGTGTGTGTGTGTGTGTGTGTGTGTGTGTGTGTGTGGAGTAAGAGGATTTTAGAGAGCAACATCATGTATGGACACAGTGCTCCATCTCAGAGATGGACACTCACAGCAGGAAGAAGAAACTGCCTCTTAAGGTTCCCCTGGATGGCATTAATATTTCACTCTTCACTTCTGAACAACTTTCTTTGACCTAAATGCCAACATCAGGAATGAATGTCTGCAACAAATATTGGGCCATCTTGAAGACGCTAATGGTATTTCAGTGGTTAAGTGTAACAGTTGGCCAGTTGGTAGCATGATAAAGTCACGAGGACTCATTCTCTCTGAATTTTATGACAACACATCTTATAACTTTTAACATAAAACTTAAAATGTACTGCAAAGTCATAGGATCACCACTTTTTACAACACATCCTCTGGGTACTGTGAATGTCTGCAGCAAACTTCATGGCAATCCATGCGCATGGAGCCTCATTGCTGCCATAACTCAAGGTACATTTTAGGACACAATTGCAAACAATCTTATGTGCAGTGTGATGGTCCTTTGCATCAAAGCATAATGCACTGCACACAAGTCAACTGGGAATTTACAGGGTGTAGCAGTGTAGAGCTGTATGTTTAAAAAAAAAAGTGCTGTAGCATAAATTTGCTGCACTGTCACAAGGTCTTTTTCTTACTTTTTCCTCCTTTTTGAAGCATTTTCCTTTCAACATAACAGGAACCAAATATAAAGGAGTGGAAGGGAGCCTGGTTATTAGGGTTGTATTTGCTGAAAAGGCCATCGTATTGAATATAAAAGGTGCCTTTTTTTCTCTCTTTCAAACAGATCAATTCATGCAACACACAAAACCTAGTGAATTTTTCAGCCATTCTCACTGGTAGGGTGCATACAAAAAAAGAGTGTAAGGTTTAAATGAAAGGTCTTTAATGAAATTATTAAGCTGAATCCTATTCTTAAAAATTGTTTTGGCATGAGGTCCCAGCTACAGCAGGGTGACGCCAATGGATTGTTGAAAAATAAAAATAATTTGCAATATCGATTATCTCCAACAGGTTAATAGATTATCTTCAGATTTTTTTCAGATATGCTAGATTGCAAAGAGGCTCTACAGCCATGCTAGCGATTCTCTATGAGGCCCGGTGCTTAAAATCTAAAATACAAGAGTAGCAACATGCTCACATCTTTAAAAATGATATTCCTCACTTGTCGTCTTCTTCAAGTCACGTTTATTTCTCTTCACGCCACAATGGCAAATTCCAATAAACTTAAAATAATAATGGAGTTGGGAAAAGTTGAGATGAATGCAGATGTTAGCAACATTAGTTTTTCTCTTGTTAGTTTCTCTCTTAACCAAAAATGGCCCACTGGTGACTCTGAAAGAAAAGTCTCAAGATAACCTCAATCCTTGGGCTTTATCCCCTGGGACCATGAATGTTTTGTACCAAATTTTACGGCAATATTGTAGAGATGATGGGCATATGGCCTGCTGCTAGTGTGGCAAAAAGTAGAGGATTTAAATTAATCGATGGATAAATTAATTCTGACAAACAAAACGGCACAAACAAGCAATTTTAAGGGATTTTTTCCATTAGTATTCTGTATGTAAGCTTCCAGTAAACTAAAGGGGAGTTTATTTTTGACTAAATTAAAATCCTGAAGCTTGTTTCCCCATAAAACCTTTCCAGCCTGATTGATTAGTCATATCCTTCATAGACTGCTGTTACAGATCCTCCCCATCTTTTCATTTGGCTGTTTGAAACACTCATAAAAAAGATGTAATCACATCATTGCACGACAAGCCATCCCCTCTTGCATCCAGTCATTGTGTGAGAGCCAGAGAATATTTTACAACGCGGTGGTTACATGTCCATAAGTATCAGGTTGTTTTTTTGCTGCATCATGTTTATAACCTCCCGATCACAGAAAGAAGTGGAGCCAGCTGGCACAGACCTGACCGCTCAGCTCCCACATGCTCCACTCGGCAAGAACACACAGGTCTGTGTGCATCTGAACGTTTCATTTCTTCTAAACTGCAGCTTTGATCTGGAGTGGTATCGCCCAGTTAAGTAATCCATCACTGGGTTCAGCCAGGGTAATACATATAGTACCACGTACACATGAGTCCAACATGTGATGGTCCATCAGAGAAGATTATAATCTCAATTTCTCTTGACATTTATTACATTTCTGCAGTAAATATGATTGTAGTGGCTTTGGCAGAGAATTCAGCATCCAGGAAAGCAAATAGAAATAGCTTTATACAGTATGAGCAGGTGTCGGGTGCTTTGTTTTAATCATGCACACAAATTATTATTTCCAGGTCAGTTTTAACATGTTAGCAGTAGGCTAGACACTGTAAATGTATTTGCCTCGAAATACATATATATCTTGAGGTTACTGCGTCCCCAACATTTTTTATTGTCCTATGAGACACCTCTGTTGTGCCTCCATACTGGATTGCTTGCAGTGCATGCAGTTGGTTGCACTGTGTAGCTTAATCCAGTGTGAAATAAGGCCACAAACAATCTAAACAATCCAATCAAGTTTAATGCAATTTAGTTTTACAACGTTTTACAACGCCTCTACTTTTCCAGTTGTTACTGAAATTTTGTGCAAAAAGACTTTTCTTTATAGAAACTGAGGAATCTTAAATCTTGAATTTGATCAGAATTCAGACTGTCTCAGTCGTACTAAATGGACATTAAATATAGTTTGAAAACCAGGTCCCAACCACAGACTGTCTCTATTTCCTCCGACTAACCAGAAGCCAAAATACCCCGGATAAGAACTGTGCCATCTTGTGCCAATGATGACATTTAGAGCCTGAGTTAGCGCGGTGG